TGAGATGTTTGGTTACCTGCATAAGAAGTGTGATATTGGTTCAACAAAAAGAAGAACAGGAGTACTTGTGGCACCTTAGAGACTAACAAATTTATTAGAGCATAAGCTTTCGTGGACTACAGCCCACTACAGACTAATACAGACTAACACGGCTGCTACTCTGAAAACTGGTTCAACAGTCACTACTTTGCTAGTTTCTAATCCATTGGTTAGAGAGAGCTCTGTGTAGTGCTCTGAGATACCTTCAGGGCAGTATGAAAGATACTATCTATGTAAACACGTCACACATGCTCCAGCAAGGGCTCAGCTTGGACAGAAAAGGGACACAGACTCACCTTGGGGATTTTGGCAAATTTTCCTACTCGGGTGTCTCGGATGCTGGTTATATCCAAAAATTCCATTTCCTGCAAAAGAATAAAAACAAGAAGGAGGTTGGCACCTGGAGGAGGAAGGGCAAGGACAGCAAGAGAGGGAAGGGTTAGAAAGGGAATGGCAGGGCTCTCTGGTGGCTCTCACTCACAGCCCTGCATTGGGGTCAGTGTGGAGTTGCACTTCCAGAGCAGGAACAATGCCACAACTCCCAGCCACACAGAGACAGCACCTGCTGCAACACTGTGTAAGCCGACTGCTCCCCTGGCCAGTGCAGATGGACAGTGATATGTGGTTCCACCTCCTTCCTTTTTGGGGTGGAGGTCCTGGCAGGGAACAGTTTCTGGGGGCAACAGAGCACAAAGGCAGCAATTCCGTCAAGCTCCTGCCCTTAGGGAGAGCACCTTGCATACCCACCAAAGGGCATGCCACAAACTTGACCTAAGAAGGAGGCAGGCGAAAGGCTATAGCAGGGGTGGATTGCTGTTCAGTAAAGCCCAGTTAATCAGACAGGGTAGTATCTCTGAAGTGAAAATAGGGACTCTGCATAGAGCCCTGGAAACATCTGGCAGGATGTGCAATGCTTAGTAAGCACTCAGGAGGGAAGGCACAGTACTTATACTAACTGAACAAGCACTCAGCTCCGGCAAAGTCTGGTTACACTTGTGGAAACATCTAGTTCACAATGGCAGACTCAAAGGTTTAATACAATAATTAACATAGCTCCTCCCCTAATAACATGACATCTTGCTCCCATACGGGTGCCTTCAAGGCCTGTCAGGGCCAAGCAGTTACCACTGGACCTAGGATCAGCAATATGGTGTGTGTGCAGGGCAACTGAATCAGCTACCAGCCCAGCCATGGAAAGTAGCCTGTTACAGTCCAGTTCACCCTAGTCCCTCACCTGTTACCCATGTCATCAGCCTGCCTATTGCCCCCACCAGTGTCATTTTGCTAATCACCCATGTCACCCACATAATCTACTGGGGTCAGCCTGTTCTGTGACTGCATCCGCCCACTTGTTGCCATGGCCACACTCTCCAGACTGGCCAACCCATGGCCCATGCCAACCCATACTGCCAGCAGCCAGCAGCCTGCCTATCAGCTACACCCAGCAGCCGTTGTCAGTTCACACAACACCCAGAGACTCTCTCAGAGTGGGAAAGGTGCCAGACAAATGCTTCTCCTAGGATGTAAAGCAGGCAGATGTGCCCTGTGGCTCTCAGATTTACTTACAGTTTGTACTAGACGCTAATCAACTAGTACTGCATTTCCCAGTAAAATTAGGCACTTGACCTGTGTCTCCACCCACAGCAGCAGGCCTACTCCCCACAGCTCCACAATTCAAGTACCAGGCCTGTTGCTCACACCCTTCCGCAGAATAAGCATTCTTTGCCCAAATAGCAGCAGGCCTTGTCCCCATTGCCTTCCCCAGCTCTGAACCTCTTGCACCAGTTACATACCCTGCACATCTGCTATTTTAGGGAGAAGGGAGGGGGCGGTCACAGTGTCTGTCAGGTTTACAAAAACTGGTGTTTCTCCTGATTTTTGTAAGTCTGTTCCAGAGCTGCCCACTTGTTCCACTGTGTTGCAGGAGGAAGCAGACACCTATAGCAGGGGTGGCCAACCTGTGGCTCCAGAGCCGCATGCAGCTCTTCAGAGGTTAATATGCGGCTCCTTGCATAGGCACTGATTCTGAGGCTGGAGCTACAGATGCCAACTTTCCAATGTGCTGTGGGGTGCTCACTGCTCAACCCCCTGCTCTGCCCCAGGTCCTGCCACCACTCCACTCCTTCTCCCAAGGCCCCTGCCCCTTCCCCCAAGCCTGCCATGCCCTTGCTCCTCCCCCCATCCCACCAGAGCCTCCTGTGCACTGCAAAACAGCTTATTGCAGCGGGCGGGAGGTGTGGGGAGGGAGGGGGAGGCCCTGATTGGCAGGGCTGATGGTGAGCAGGAGGCGCTGGGGGCTGGAGGCGTTGGGGGGGAAGCGGATGGGGGCTGCTGACATATTACTGTGGCTCTTTGGCAATGTTCATTGGTAAATTCTGGTTCCTTCTCGGGCTCAGGTTGGCCACCCCTGCCCTATAGCATTCCCTATAGCTCCACTCCTGCAACCAGGATGAGTAGATCTAGAGTGCCCTCAAGCAGAATGCCAACTGTTTCAGGAGGAGACACACAGCAGAAGGGAATGCAGACATTTCAGGGGAATATAACAGCATAAGTTGCTGCTGCTAACAGCTCCTTATCTCACACAACTGCTGTGCCGACAAGCGCTACTGTGGCACCGCTGTGAGGGAGTTCACGACGCTGGAGCCTCAGCTGGCACTGGCAATCACTGTTACAAGGAAACCGTCACAGCGAAGATGTCACTAATAGCACCCAAATAGTCCCAGCTAGTACTACTCTGCAATGTTACTGCTGCTGTCTCTTTATCTGCCATGCGTCAGTATGTGGGTCATGAGAAGGAAGTGAAGCTGAACCACAGTGGACTAGAAAGCGGAAGTATGTAGGCCCAGCCTCCCACCTGCCATCTCCCAGCACTCTCTGCCTCTTGGGGAACTGGATTTTTTCTCCTTTCCCACTGCATCTCCCCTGCTTAGGTGCTGGAACTAAGGGTGCTGCCTCACACACGGGCTTGAAGTGGTTTCCATTATATGCAGGGTTTACAGTTTGGTTCAATGGTTCTCAGCACCCCCACTATACAAACTGTTCCAGTATCCCTACTCCTCTCCACCCCTCGCTCCAGCTATGGGAGAGTCTGCATGCTCCGATCTACCTCTCCCTTGCTGGGTACGTCTACATTTGAGCTGGGAGGTGTAATTCCCAGCTTGTGTGGATGTACCCGCATTAGCTCTGATTAAGCAAGCACATTAAAAATAGCAATGTGTCAAGGGCAGCAGAGGTAGCTGCTTGGGCTAGCCACCCAAGTACATACCCAGGGATCCAACGGCTATGTACTTGGGCGGCTAGCATGAGCCGCTCCCCATGCTACCCTGGCTACATTGCTATTTTTAGCAAGCTAGCGCAAGCACATCTACGCAAGCTGGGAATCACACCGCCCAGCTAGATATACAACTGTGTGTTCCAGTTTAGCACTGGAGGAACCAATATCTCCCGCTGGAACTGAGGTGTGCTGTCTTCCATCTTCTTCCTTCCTCCCTTTTTTCAGCTCATGCCTGGATAAACTTCATACATAGCTCTTGGAAGCATCAGCACACGACTTAGCTACAAGCATAGTCCATACGTGTTTGAGGCATGTAATAGTTGTAGCTTTTGGCCTAGTAGGCTGTGCACAGAGCTCTCACTCGAGAGTCCTGGGTTGTAGCCCCAGCTCTGCCATTTACTCATTCTGGACAATTCACTCAGCCTGTCTGGTAAATGGGGATATTAATGCTTGCTCACCTTTGTAAAGTACTATGAGATGCATGGAACTAACGAGCTATACAGCTAAAACCTGTGACAAGAAAGTGTTCATTTCCCATCAACACCTGCAGCGTAGTTCCTCTGATTCCCTGCTCTTTCCTGGAATTGCCCAGGAAATTCCTGCAGGGGCACCTGCCACAGAACAAATGGCAGTCCCCAGGCCCTTGTGTGCTGCTTTCTTCTAAGATGGGATGTGTTCTGTGGTTAGCTGTCTGACTGCTGCCCAAGCCCCTTTACTCTGGGTACTTTTACAAACTCCAATTCAGAGACACAGCTGGAAAGCTCAGCACTTACCTTATTCTGATATGTCCAATATAAGTAAAAACCCTTTGGATCTACCCGGAGAATCACAGGCGAAGCATTCGTTGTGTCCTGACAAAACCAGGAGAAAGAAGGTTTAAAGCTTTGGAGAATCTGTAAGGGAAGGTAGTTTCCCCTGCAGCCCAGACTTGGTGAATCACCTTCTGACTATTCTGTGGTCTGTGTAAAGCAATTAGTTGGTTTGAGTTCAGCTCCAGCAAGTGAGAGCCAAGGGTTATGGAGGCTATACTAACCTATACTGCTGCTACCCCTAATGGTGGGTCCCGCCTCCAGATCAATGCTAAGCCGAGGCACATTGGCAGCAAAGTGGGAAGGAAGGATATGTTGCCACTGTGTCCTGTACCTCCCCTATGAGTATCCAAGGGACTTAAATCTCCAGGGTTGGCACCTTCCGTGAGCACTAAACACGGCAATAACCATCTGTCTGTCATGCTCTCCCTCTCATCATTCCACTCCCTCCTTTCACTGCCACTTTCTCTCCTGTTCTGCAATAGGCAGAAAGATCATGTGGATACACATACCTACCCATGTCCCCATAGTTCTCAGTTAGTTCCCTGAGCTCACTGCTAGGAGCTGGAAGAGCATTCTGGACGTTGACATGCAAATGAGGACCCCACTGGCCACATTTCTAGATTTCCCACACTCTCCCACCAAACCAAGCTTTTTAAAACCAAACAGGGTCTTCAGTGTAGAAAAGCCCAGAAGGACCTCCTTCCTTCCTGTCCACATGAGGAACAGATCCATGCTAGCTACAACTGGGTTCAAACAGAGTTTATTCAATCACCCAACTTTGTGAGATCTTAGATGTTGCATAAATTATCATGAACTCTTGCTGAGAATTGGCACAAACCATGGTCATCCCTGCCTCTATCTCCTTTTCTTAACAGGATAGGCTTCTCCCCTTTGGCTATAGGCCCACATGAAGAAAAAGACAAACTGAGCACAAGCATCCTAAAACACATGCATCAAGGTTGGCCTGTGAGAGACTGCAGAAGGGAATGAATTCCAGAGATGAGGATCTTCCATCAGAATGTCCTGCTGCCCATGCCCTGGAGTTCAACCCCAGGGACAGAGAGCAAGAGCTGCCTTGTGGAACACAGCTGCTATGATGTGGCATAGCAGGAGAGATGGATGTGGGAACCCAGACCATTCAGAGCTTTGTAGGTAATAAAATCCTTCACTTGCTCTTGGGGGTGGATTGGGAGCCAGTGCAGAACACGGATTATATACGTTTGTGATAATAAATTACAAGTATGTTTCAATTAATTTCATCTCACACCCCAAACCTATAGTACTTTCTTGGCAAAAATTCATCACTTTAAATAAGAAGAAACCCCAAATCCCAAAATGGCTGGAAATGAACAGCTAGGGGAGCCAGGCTGTTCTCCTTTGTGGAATGACCCTTTCTCATTCACCATCGTTTCCCTTGACTCATACTGCCTCACCCACCTTAACTTTGCCCCCTAATATATGTAGAGATATGAAAAAATCAAAACATCACTTGGGGTGAATTTCTGGCCCCACTGAAATCAAGAGCAAAACTCTCATTGACTCTAAGGGGGCCAGAATTTCACCTTAGAAATCCTATTTCCTGTTCAAAGGATCCATTTCCAATAATCACTTAGGGATCAATTGAGGAGTTACCTTCTGTAAGGGACAGCTTGTAGCTTTGCTGCCCTGCACTGGCCCTGGGACATAATTGTGACATAGAGAGTCACAGTTTGGTGTCTGGTTTTCCATTGCTCCAGGGAGAAAGTAATTTGTTCCACACATCCCTTTACTTGGCACAGCTTACTTTCCTCTCTGTGCTGGCTCAGTTGCACTGGCTGCTGCTTTGGATGGATGGAGTTAAGGCCCTGCACACTCCAAGCCCCGATATGTGGCTCCATGAAGGCTATTTAATCCCTGCACTGTGGTCTGCAATGGGAGTAGCCCACACAGGGGCTTTATGACCTCTTACTTATGTGCCATGAGTTACAATGTACTGAAGTGACTGAAGCTACTTGCATGAACTTGTAAGGATTGTACATTCAGGATGCTTATAATTTGTTCTCACTAGAAGTATGTTTAAAACTGAGTCTGGCCACATTTAGAACTTAAGAATGGCCATACTGGGTCAGACCAAAGATCCATCTAGCCCAGTATCTTGTCTATCGACAGTGGCCAATGTCAGGTGCCCCAGAGGAAATGATCAGAACAGGTAATCATCAGGTGATCCAACCCCTGTCATCCTTTCCCAACTTCTGGCAAACAGAGACTAGGGACACCATCCCTGCCCATCCTGGCTAATAGCCATCGATGGGCCTCTCCTCCATGAACTTATCTAGTTCTTTTTTGAACCCCGTTACAGTCTTGGCCTTCACAACATCCTCTGGCAAAGAGTTCCACAGACTGCTTGTGTGTTGTGTGAAGAAATACTTCCTTTTGTTTGTTTTAAACCTGCTGCCCATTAATTTCATTTGGTGACCCCTAGTTCTTGTGTTATGAGAAGTAGTAAATAATCAGGGCCGGCTCTAACCTTTTTGCCGCCCCAGGCAAAAAAGAAGAGCGCCATCCCGCCGTACCCCCCCACGAGCGCCACGCACCCGAAACCCCCCCAGGGCCGCGCAGCCGAAATCCCCGCCCCCCAGCACCACGCGCCCAAAGCCCTGCCGAGCCCCGCGCCCCCAGCGCTG